CCTCCTTGAGGTCTGGGATGCCCTCCTTGAGAGCTGGAATGCCCTCCTTGAGGTCTGGGATGCCCTCCTTGAGGTCTGGGATGCTCTCCCCGAGGTCTGGGATGCCCTCCTGGATACTTGAATTCCAAGCAGGAGCGGAGGGTTTGCCCAGCCCTGTTCTCCAAACTCTGGACTCGCTGATTTTGCTACAGGGGAACATCTCAACAAGCAGCTTGTGCTGCTCTGGAATTCGGGTGCCGGAGAGAGGGGACGGCCAAGGGACTCTCTGGGTTGAGTTTCTCGTCAGGATTGAGTGTTTGGGGGGTTTTTGTTTGCATTGTTTTGTTTGTTTTTAAAAGCAGCATTTTTGGTTCCCTCCGAGGGACCCAGTTCTTGTAGCAAACCCGAGAATTAACGGAAGCTTTTTTTGAAGGTGCCTAAATGAAATTTGCTGAAAAATACTCAGGGGAGACACCACTAGAAACTCTGGTTTCTTCGTAAAATGAACCTAATCCAATGACTGTCCTGAAGGATCAGTTCCCAAAAAGAGAGGAAAAAAAAAAAACAAACACCAAACCCAACACACCAAAAGATGAGCAGTTTGGAGACTGGAAGAGGACAAGAGGTTAATGGGGAATTTTTGCCAACCAGCTGGCTCTGACCTTCAGTCTTCACCACAAACCAACCCACAGCACAGCTGGGATTTTTATACAATTATTTCTTGGCAAAACACAGAATTCCACAATGCACAGAGCACAACAAACCAACCGAGGTTCTCCTGGTGACACCGGGAACGACGAACCAGCTCAGCCACCACGGGACAAAACCAAACCTGAAGGAAAAAGACTGTTGGGATGAAGCTGTTCCCTCCACAAACCCCAACCTGGGGGTCCCCAAACCCCCAAACCTGGGGGCCCACAAACCCCCAACTTTGGGGTCCCCAAACACCAAACTTTGGGGTCCCCAAACCCAAACCTTGGAGTTCAAAACCCCAAACCTGAGGGTTCACAAACCCCAATCTTGGAGTCCCCAAACCTAAACCTGGTGGTCCACAAACCCAAACCTGAGGGTTCACAAACCCAAACCCAAACCCAGGGGTTCACAACCCCAAACCTTGGGGTCCACAAACCCACATCTGGGGGTCAGCAGGACTCCACTGTGCGGTGGCTGCTTTGCCCAACAGCACCAAATTTAAGTGACATCGTGACAAGGACTTTCAGCTGCTGTCTCGACTTTGCCAACCCAAAATCGCTGTAGACCTCTGAGGAAAGAGGAGGCCCAGATGCTGCTGACCTGGGATGGGGAGAGGTTCATCCTTTCACTTGGTGAAGGGTGAAATCCTCGGCCGGAGCAGCTCGCTCCGATTCCTGGGCTCCTGCTGGATGGCAACGGAAGGAACATGGGATGCACTGAACCTCCAGTGGTTTGGGGAAGCAAACTCGGTGCCCTGACTCCTGAAACAGGGACTAACACTGGTTGGAACGTGATGTTCCTTGCAGAGCATGGAGCAGCTCCACGAGCTCGGCGGCGCCTGGACGAGGCCGAGCTTCCTCTGCCCGGCGCTGGATTTCTGACTGCACATCAGGGAAAGCATCCTGAGAGGAAAAGCTTTCCTCTCCTCCGAGCTGACACTATTTGCTTTTGGCTTTACCAGCCCTGTTTCGATGGGAAAATGCCAAACCTGCCCGTGGTTCCAGCACGGAACGTCCGCGGGGCCGCGGAGCAGCGGCGTGGGCAGAGCAGGGAGCTCTGCAGGGACGTCGTGCTCGCTGCTGTGGGCACACAGCATCCCACCCCCTCCCTTCCCAGCTCTGCATTCCTCCAGCAGAGCTCCCTTTCCCTGCTCCTCTCCCTGCCAGGAACATCACACGCCTGTGTTCTGACAGAGAACAGAGGCGGGTGAGGAGCAGCAGAACATCCCGACCACGCGCCCGGGGTCCGGCAACAACCTCGCTGCTCCTGCCCCAGTTACCAAAACCCCGCTGGAAAAACCCAGAGGAAAGAACCAGCACCTGGAAGGCACAGCCTGGGCGCTGCAGGGAACAAGGAAAACCCGAAGATTTTTGCTCCTTTCTGGTCCCTGACACGCTGAGGATGCGCTGGGGGGTGACTGAACAAACTGCTCCCCAGTTCCCCCTCGGTGCTGGGTTCGTGTTTGCTGCCTCACGGGGCCGATCCCTCCTGCTCCTGGACACTGGCAAGGTGGAGCCTCCATGCAGTGACTTCAAATGACCAAAATCCAACAAGACCTTCCCTTCTTCCCTTCCAGTCCCCCCCTCCCAGGAAGTGCCACTCACTGCCCTTGGGGAAGCACCTGGGTCAGGACCCGCCTTGCACAGGTGTGGGAAAACTGAACTGGGGGAACTGTGCCACAGTCACACTGAAACATCAGCTCCTTCTCCTTTCTCAGCCCCTGAGCCCCCGTGTCAGACGTTTTCCCTCCTCCAGCAACGAGAACAACGGAGCCAAGACACCCCATTGCTTTCTACGGGACACTCCAGAAATCCAGAACTCAGCCACTGAGAAAATTCACCCCATCCCAGGACAAACCAGAAGCTTCTGCACTCCAGGGTTTTTCCCCCCTTTCCTGGGGGAATGTTTTATTGCCAAGGGCATTTTTTTCCACGTGCAATATGACTTGCAAAAGGTGGCTGCCTCGGTATTATGGGTCAGATTATCTCCTCTACCTCCCTTCACGGAAGGAAAGTCAAACCACTTGATTTGGCAGATATTTTTTCCCCCAGAAAGAGCAATTAATACGAAATGACATCAGCTCTGCAGGCTGTTTTACACCCAGCCCCCAGCAGTGAGGAGCAGCACCCACCTGACACAGACCTCTCTGAACGGCGCTGCCGGGGCTGGAATCAAACCCCCAGCTGGAGTCACAAGGCTGGATTTTACCAAAATAGCCTTGAAATGGTACTTAAACATCCCCTAAATGCTAATAGAAGTCACAGCCACGCAGCAAAGCACAGAAAGCACTCGGTGATTCCAGGCCTGAGTTATCCCTGTGTTTTCTCCCGGCCTGGAATGGGCTGAATTTGCCAAAGTGGAGTGAAAATTTTCGAGGGCAGCAGGAGCTGGGCCCAGAAATCAGCTCCTGTGTCATCATGGCACGTTGAAAGCAGGGGGAGAGGATGGTTCAATGTAGTTCTCTGGAAATCCAGTGAGATACCAAAACAATTCCCAGGAATCAGGAAACTGAACCTGCTGCCACAGAGCAGCGGAGCCGGTGGGAAGCATTCCCTCCACATCCAGCTTTTCCAGCTCTTGCAAGCTTTTATCTCCGGAAGCAGTTACAGATGCAGCTCTTGGTTACAAATCCAAGAGCAGGAATTCCTCGGGAGTGGGATCAGGATTCCCCTTTGCTGTCAGGGAATCTCTTCTGTGGCACCACAGCTCGGGCAGAGACGAGACCTGGGAAGAGCAGCCTGGACCTGGGTGTTTGGGAGAGGAGCAGCCACATTCCATCCCTTGCCTGGTTTTCCTGGGCTCACAAACCCCCAGCACTGGTGAGAACAGCCAGAGGGTCCTTCCTGCTCCAAAATTACTTCCAAAATCAGCACCAGGGATGTTTTTTCCAGGTGGAAAGAATCCATCTTCTGTTTTCTTCTGGTTGATTCAGGGGCTTCGCTCCAGACTGAGGTGACATGCTTGGATAATCCACATCTGTCACCTTCCCAAAGGTGTGGGATTGGCCACTGGTTTGGAAAACAACAGCACTGTCCAGGTCAGGGAACAGTGTTCCAGCACTGTTTGTCTCACTGGCTGAATCCAAAGCCCAAGTGTGGGTTGCATCGTGGATGGAAAAACATGGGAAGAGCTCTCCCTGCTTTCCTTCGGGATTTTGTGCCTGCAGATGGATCTGGAGAGTCGCCTGCAGGAACAGCAGGGTTTGCATCCAAAGGCATGAGGGCCCTTCCAATGATCCTCCAGCAAAGCTGCTTCATCTGGAAATCTGCCTTCTGCTCCATGGAATCCCAGGATGGTTTGGTTTGGAAGGGACCTTAAAGGTCATCTCGTTCCACCCCCTGTTCCATGGGCAGGGACACCTTCCATAATCCCAGGTTTCTCCAAGCCCTGTCCAACCTGGCCTTGGACACTTCCAGGGATGGGGCAGGGTTTCTTTCTCACAGAGAAAACCCCCCAACCCCTGGCTGGTTGCTAGAGGTGCAAAAGTTGTGTTTAGGAGCTAAAAAGAAGGTTGAAAAGCTGCAGGAAAAGCTTGTTAGGGGGAAAAAAAATAAAAGCATCTGCAGCAGCACGGTTGGAATTTTGGGGTGAAGACAATCCTGCTCACCAGAACCCACCTGGGGAAGATTTAGGGTTGAAAACAGACCTGGAAAAATGTTCAGCAAAGGGTTTGTCCTGCTGTCTGAGGAGCTGCCACAGCGCTGGAGCCCGACCACCCACCTCAGGCATGGATATCAGGATGGGACACGGACACCAGGATGGGACAGGGACACCAGGACAGGGCACAGACACCAGGATGGGACAGGGACACCAGGAATCCAGGAGGAACCAGCGTGGTCCCACAGCTGCCCCCCAGCCCAGGAGCCGCCGTGCCCCCCGTGCCCGCAGGAGCTCCGGTTGTTGTGATACCTCATCCTTTCATTTGTCCCCCTCCCTTCCCCCCCTGTTTTTTTGTTCTTTCAGACCCAGAGCTTGTGCACTCGCCCCCATTCAGGTTCTGTTCTGCTGTACCTGTGCAATGAAGAGCAATCCCAGCCCCGGGCTGTGCATCTCCCACCCTCTGCTCCCTTTGGCACTGGGGAATGCTGAGCTCCAGGCCAGGGGAGCACGAGCCCAGGGGGTCCTCTGGGGGGAGGCAGGGTTTGGAGGGGCCCCCTCTGTGCCCTCCTTTCATCTCTGCTGTTGAACAGCCCCCCCAACACCCTCCCGGGGGCTCGGTGCCACCACCCTGCTCCCGAATCCCTCCCAGAGCTCCTGCCTGAGGCAGGGATGGAGAGGGAGCCTGGGGAGCAGGCAGGGAGGGAGGGAGGGAGGAGTGGAGCCCTGATCCCGATCCCCGAGAGGAGGGCAGTGTGTAAATACCCACATCCCGGCGCCGCTAAAAAAAAAAAAAAAAAAAAAAAAAAAAAGGGGGAATTTTGTCCTGCCCGTGCGAAGCAATTCCTGCCCTGTGGAAGGAGCAGCTCCCCCTGCCCGTCCCCACTGGCCAGGGAGGGCCCCCTGGCAGCGGGTGCCTCGTGAATGTTTAGAGCACTTTGAAGTTGGTGGCCTTGTTTTTCTTAAAGGGCTTGATTTTTTTCGTGCAGTTTAAATGGAATTATCCCTCCCCACCCCCTCCATCGTGTCATCCCACTCCCCACCTCCAAATCCACGCTAGGAACAAGCTCCTGGATCGTGTAAGAAACGATCCAGGACTCAAGAATCTGTCATTAATCCCCAAAGTTTATACCTCAAAGAGAAAAAACAGCAGCTTAGGGACAGCTCCGGGGGGAAGCAGCAGCAGCTCCAAGCTGGAGGTTCATCCCTGAATTTGGTTCTTGACAGCAGCAGGGAAATCAAACCCAAACCCACACGAGCACAGGGGGAAAAGCACCAAGGAGGTTTTAAAAGCACCCAAAGTGCAGTTTGGAAACGTTCATCCTGTCAAAAAAAAAAAAAATTCCAAATTTATATTCCCAATTGAGGGGTTTTGTCCATAACTAACAAATATTTAAGCACAGCCTATGCCTTCAAACTGTGTCAACCCCCCTAAAAAAAGTCTGAGGGGGCATAAAAAGGGGCCAAAATTGTTTGAGGTAGGATTGATGAGATCACTGAAGGCAATGAGATGCACCCAGGGCTCAGCCTGTCATTCCCAATCCCAGCCCTTCCCGTGGCAGCTGGAGCTGAAAGGAGTTTCTGGGACAGGGGTGCAGCTCAGAGTGACACAACCACACAAGGACACACAGTTCTTCACATTTTCCAGCCTAAAATCCATCCCCCCCATCCCAAAAAAATTGCATTAAGAAGGATGAGCTGACCCAGGAGAGCCCCGTGGGGCTGGGAAGTGCCAGAACCCAATTAGCCAGGAGTTAATTGGTGCTGAATGAAAAGGTGCCAGGTGTGTCACCACCACACCCCAGGGAACAGGAGAGGCAGGAGAACTCCCAGGACTGACACACTCACCTTGGGTACCTTTGGATTCCGGGAGCCAGGATGGGAGCAGGCAGTGAACCCCCCACTCCTGTTCGGGATAAACTTGGTTTGATGACAGATTCCTTCTATTTGACAACTCCCCCCCAAAGAATCACCCCAGAGGGGGGGACTGGAGGGTCCTTTGAGCCCCCACTTCCACGTCCAAGACAAGGGGATGGGCTTGTGATGGATCCTTGAGAGCGGGAACGGATTTCAAACAAGCAAATGGCAATTTTCTACCTGTGTTCTGTACCTGTTTTTCTATGTGTGTGGTCTTTCTTAAATGTCAAACTCTTGTATTTTTGTGGTTTCTATATGCAGCAGGACTGATGGCTGTGAGGGTGCACGCTGTTTTTGTAAAATATTCCTTAGCCAGTTTTCCCCCCCAACCCCACAAAACAAAAGAAAAAAAGAGGGGAAAACCTGAATTATTCACATTTTCATTGGCTTGTACCTGCATGTACAGTATTGGGGCAGCAAGTGAAGATGATTAAAGCCAGCTTGAAAACTTTCTTCTGTGCTTGAGTCGAGCTTTTCAAATCATGGAGCCCAAACAAGTCACCCATCAGACACACTGGGGAGGAAGGGAAAAGAAGAAACTCCCTTTTTTTTTTTTTTTTTGCTGGAAAAAGGAGGTTTTGACTTGAGGAAAGAAATACCATCATTAACAAGCAGAGTATCATCAGCTCAAGGCCCCCACAAGGAGCTCTGAGCTCTCCCTGCAGCTGCACAGCCACCCACAAACCTTCCTGGCTGTGCTTCAGGTGACTCCCAAATCCCAGCCAACCTTCCTAAGGGTGGGGAGGGACTTTGGGACAAGGGCCTGGAGGGACAGGACACAGGGAATGGTTTCCCACTGCCAGAGGGCAGGGTCAGATGGGAGATTGGGAGGGAATCCTTCCCTGGGAGGGTGGGGAGGCCCTGGCACAGGGTGCCCAGAGAAGCTGTGGCTGCCCCATCCCTGGGAGTGTCCAAGGCCAGGCTGGAACAACCTGGGATAGTGGAAGGTGTCCCTGCCCATGGCAGGGAGGGGAACAAGTTGATCTTTAAGCTCCCTCCCAACCCAAACCCATTCTATTCCATAATTTTATGATGGTTAACTTTTTGTGGAACCTTAAAATGCACCTTTTGGCTGAGCCTTGCTCAGGTTCTGTTGAGAAAAATGAGTGTAAAAGCTGAATAATTTAATTCCCCCACCCCAAACTCTTGTATATAAAAGCATCCACTGACCTGATTGTGCCTGGCTGAGCCCAGTTCTTGGAGTGCTGGCAGCCCCTCAGCTCCTTGGCATTTGGGACACGGCCTTGGAATTTGGGCTGGAACACCCCAAAATCCCCACACCTGGAATGAACAACTCACTCTGACCCCACCACCGAAACACCTGCTGGTTAAAAACCCACAGAGCCAAGGGGGAGATTTCACTGCAATGTTTTATTTGGGAATTTACATATCCACAGGAGAAAGCAGACCACAGTCTGACCTCTTGCTCAGGGCTGATGACTTTGAAGCAGTTTGTGTGTTCTACTGGAGATGAGAAAAGAAAACCTGCCTAAGATTCAAAATGTCCAAAAAGCGAGCCAGGAAAGGGGACCAGGATTACACAGGAAAAAACAACAACAACCAAAAAGAAAACAAAAAACAAAACAAAAAAATATATGAAAAAAGTATAAATTAGGATGTCATAGTCATTTTTAAAAGTGTAAGAAAACTCGAAGTGGGCTCTGAGCCCCGGATAAGTTAACTCTCAGTTAAGATTGTTAAAAGTTTAAATACATCAAATGCCAACAATCAGACAGAAAAAGCCACTCTGAAGTGCAAGTTTCACATTCCATCGGCTTTGCCCCCACACCGGGCGAGAATCCTGCTTGCTCAGGGGGGGAGGGAGGGGGGGCTTCCCAAGGACTTTGGTTCCAATGAGGGTCAGAGAGCTGAGAACTCGCTCAAGGGAGGAGGTAGCAAGGCTTGCTTGCCCCTGGGCTCGGGGGAAATCCAGTTCCTCAGCACCAAACGAGGTTTCCCACCCCTCTAACTGACCCCAAACCTACTAACACTGGAGTTTGAAGTGACAAGGCCTGGCTTTAGCAGGCAGAACAAAGGAGAGATTCCTCAGTCCCACCTTTGCCCAGCAGGACATCAAGTGCTACCCAGAGGAGGTTTGTGCAAGGAGGGGGATCCCCCCTGACTGTGCATTGACTGTGCTGGGGACGGGGAGCTCATGGGCTGGTCACCGAGGAGGTGTCACCCTGTGTGACAGTGAGAAGGCAGAGATGGGGCTCTGGGGGGGTGGAAGGGTCCGGGGCTGGGCAGCCCCAAAAAGGAAAAACCCTGAATGTCTCATGGAGAGCAGGTTTGAAGAACAGAACAGAAGGCAAAAATGGTCACAACGCGAGGGCTCATTTCCACATCGGGGAGCTGAGGGACTGATTGCTGCCCTGGGCTCCTCCTCCTCCCATGGACTGTCCATAGCCCATCATCCCGTTGGCTCCATAGAAGTTCATCCCAGCCATCTGCTGGGTCACCTGCAGAGGGGAGAGGGGAGAGGAGGGAGGTCAGGAGGTGTCCTGGATGCTGCCAGCCCAAACTCGGGCTCCACAACATATTCCAGGCTCAAGCAGAAGTTCTGAAGAGTTAAGGTGAGCAGCTCTGGGGCTCCCAGGCACGAGAGGACATGGGATTGGGATTAGGCTGCGTCAGGGAAGCTTTAGGTTGGACATCAGGAGGAATTTCTTCCTGGAAGGGTTGTTAAGCATTGGAAGGGGCTGCCCAGGGAGGTGGTGGAGTCCCCAGCCCTGGAGGTGTCCAAGGAATAACTGGATGTGACACTCAGTGCTCTGGGCTGTGGGACAAGGTGGGGATGGGGCACAGGGGGGATCCATGGGCTGGGAGGGCTTTTCCAACCTCAGTGACCCTGGGACTCCCCACCCCTGGAGGTGTCCAAGGAATAACTGGATGTGACCCTCAGTGCTCTGGACTGGGGCACAGAGTGGACTCCATGGGCTGGGAGGGCTTTTCCAACCTCAGTGACTCTGGGACTCCCCATCCCTGGAGGTGTCCAAGGAATAACTGGATGTGACCCTCAGTGCTCTGG